GACACACGACAAAGGTGTACGACATAATCCAAACGCGCAGTCGGTACTGGGCAGCCCCAAGAAACGTTCACACCCAGCGATATTGTTGGAGAAGTCAGGAAACCCATATACATGTGGAGCTACGCATGGACACTCACGTACTTGCATAGCCCTAGTAGTATGCACCCAAAGAGATATCGCGACGTTCTGCACGATCAAAAGCGGCACCCGACACAGGTGTCAGGCAATACCAAAATACTTGTGAACACTGCCGCAGCGTGCCGCAACGTTCGTCGACAGGAGGTGCTCCGCTCTGACTCGAGCAATAGGAACAATGCTGTCACGGCAATGGAGTGCGAACCGACGTGTCAATCGTTACGTTTCGGATTCCTTGTAGTAGAGCCAGGTAGGAGATATTCCCAAGGAGTCTCTTTGCGCGGCGACCACAATATGACGACACCTATACGGGAATCTGCTGTTCAGCAGCATCATGCGACATGTGCACGACACGCGCACGGTTGTTCGCATCGCATTGAAGTATTCTTCTTCGTCGCAGGGGTATCGCATCCATTCATGGTCGTCGGGGTAGGCAAACGTTCTTGGTCGATGCCTCTTCCATGTCGCTGTTTCCAAAAAACGAAATCGAGCTACATGCATACCATTTTTTTTTTTGCCATACTCTACTAACAGCAACAAATTTGTCACGACACGACGACCATCCTGTGAGTATATAACCAGGGAGAACGATTGCTCCCCCGCCCCCCAATGGGGCGGGCGGCCATAACGAGACGGATCGCGGTGAGGGTTTGGGAGGAAGTGAAGTATGATGTTATCCACATACTCACGGGATGTCGGCGCGAGACATTAGACCTCATTTTAGTGCTCACCAAAATTGGGGCCGTACTTTGTTATTTGCGGGCCACAATATGCGTTTGCGACGAAATGTCTAGCGTTACGGCCACCACATCGCACAACTGTGGCGCAGCAACGAAGACGTGTACCGAACCTTTACGTGCCACCGTCACACGTTGTCATGAGTGCACTTGTCGACAGCTCACGTTTGCTCTTGGTGTTGTGTTGACGTTGTGGCGACCACCTGCTCGTGCCGCCTGGACACGAAATTGGAACCGTGTTTTTTATTTTTGGCCACACAGTTGTGACCAAGAGTGCCTATTTTTCTTTTTTTTCAGAAGGCAAAAGATGGCCAATCGACGCCCTATAGGTCTTGGTTAGTCGAAACGCAGGGCTGTCTACTGAAGGAACGCCGGAATTCAGGCAGAAACCAAACGAGGGTCCCTACATCTAGAGCCTTTTTCTCCCTCCTGGGAAAAAGGGAAAACCGCTGCGCTTCGCACTCCGCGGAACAATGATATTCCCCTCGACGGTACCTTTCTCCTACGATTCTGTGCTAAAGCCCCCTATAACCGGGCACTCGCCTTGTCGGTGAACCACCTATAATAGGTAGTCTTCATTATACTTTTTCATGCTGCATGTTCCCCCTTTTTTCGCTCTTTCTTTTCCTAAAAACTGCTGCATTGTAGGAGATAGCACCGGGTGAGGTGGAGTTTGCAGATCTCCTTTAACGAAAAACAGGAAACCCCTGTGTGCCTTGGTTTTCGAAAGTCTAACTCCAGCACGAACCTATCATCGCACCGCAACAGCCCGCATGTTGCTGATGTACAATGTTAGCAAAGATACTACAGTAATCCTTGTGGTACGGCAGTACAAGCAGGATTAGTTTGAGCTGGCGTGCGGTCCGATTTTGAAATAGTGACCGCGAATCAGCATGTGCGCGAGCCCGAACTTCGGCGAAGCTCTTGCCTCGCACGTCGTACTCATCGCCCTAGTCGATTTCAATGTGGGGCCATGGATGTATTTGTAGGTCTAGCCACAGGTCGGGACGGTGCTGGATAGAATTTCGAAACTCGGACCGCAGTAGATTCAAGAATCCTGCTTTGTAGCTCGCCGAAATTAACGATAAACGGATCGTTTGGAAAATCGCGGACCGGTCGCAAATCTGTAGAGACGCAAGGGCTACAAGAATAACCGCAAATGTCTTTATACTACTGTAGATCCATCTGTGGACGGTTGCGTAGATTCGTACTGGAGTCAGAATTTAGAAAACGAAGATATGCCGGCGTTTCCTGCTTGTGTTTAGAAGAGATCGGCCAGATCCACCTCGTCCTTAAAACCTTTAGTGTCGGCCGAGGCTAAGGTTCATAGATCCTCTTGCGCGCAAAACCTGTTCCGCAATTTTGCCTTTATTGTAGGGACTCTCAACCGGACGCATAAAAAGTGCCAAGTTCTGAAGTGAGGGCCCTTTCTGTGGTGCACATCAAACATCCCGTTTCGTTTGACTTGTTGCACAGATGGCTCACTCCCTTTGAGCTTCGTGTGGCCGACATTCGAATCCAACCGCTCTGCTGTACTCCTATCCGACGAGACTTGTGGCGAATGGACAACAAGTTGTTGGAAACAACGCGCAACCTGTACTCATTTTTTTACCCTTGGCTAAACCTAGACCGCGTCTGCTGCCCACGGCCTGAATCCGACTAGAGCACACCCATTCCGCGAGTGGTAGGGGGTACGAGCTGCTGGAAGGTAACGCGAAAGGAACTTTGTGTTTCTGCCAGAACGGACAGCACGACGAGACAGCTGTTGCAATATAGGGTGACTCCACAGGAATCGTTGTGTAGAAGAAGATAGCCGAATCCACCTGCTGAAGTTCTTCCCGATATTTGTGGCGAATGATGAACAATATGTGGGCTGCAAGTCACCCCACCCGCTATTTGCAGGAAATAGTGTAGACGTCCTTGTGTTATTTTGTATGAGCGTCTTCTCAGCGAAGCGCTTGTTGCAACCTCGACAAATGGGGAGGTGTATCGACCACTGTCTTCGTGTTCGCCACAAAAACGTAGGTGCTTTACGGTGACACGTGGCGTTCTTTGTAGTTTCGAAGTATTCGAATTCTTCAGTATTCGAAAGGGAGCTTCGTTTGAAACGACCCTTACCCGACTGCACGATCGGTTTCGAGATAAGAACTCGATAATTCTTCTGACATTAATATGGTCAGCAGTTGTGAACGAGAATCTTCCGCTCCGTTCAAGGATCTGAACACATGACTGCAACCTGACGAGGCACATACCAGGTATTTTCAACCACAAAACAGCAGTGCCACGGAGAGCACCTATGGGTAGTTCTGAAACTGGTTTTGCTCTCAGAAACATGCAGAAAGCAGTCCTGAGCTACCCGGCAGAGGCGCCGGGCCAAACCAGCGTCATAAACTAGCGTAGTCCCAGAGCGTCGGTCGAGTTTTTTCAGGCAGAATCGCTCTCTGCGTCTGTGATTACATGGACCACACGTCTCGCCAAGAAGAGTGGGGGGACTGTCACCGTAATGGATAGGAGGAAACACACACACACTACAGCGAGAATCGCCGATGTGAGTCTGAGCGGAACGGAAAGATGGAGGGGAAGGCGGATGGGGAAGAAAGAACGGCGAGGATAGAGCGGGCACAACGTAGATGAATACACAGGCAGGGGCATAACACATGAACGTCTTGAATATCGCGGCGTCTCTATGACAGTGGAAAGTAGGGGGCGGAGCTTCATCGAGTGTCGACCTCGAATGCATTGCACAAGGCACATTAAGATCTGAATATTGTGACGATACTCATGTTCTCGGTCTCGAAGAGAACTCGCATAGTCGGCAAGCACGCCTTGTACGTCATCGCCCTGGACATGGAACACGGCAACGTCTTGAACCTTGCGCCCACAGCACTGAAAGGTTTTGATGGTGCAATCTTCATACTTCAAGCAAAGCGGATGCGCCATACTCGCGAGTTGAAATTCAACCGCAAGTCTGGTAAAGACTTGAGTCCAATATTGCAGAACTGGCCTGAGGAGCCCCGCTTTAAGCAATTTGAAAGTCTTTCTTTTGAATCTGGCACGTGAACTTTCAATCCGAAACTCCTTGTGCAATTCCGTCCGCAACTTCTCTCTTCAAGTTCAGAAATCAGAAGTGTTTCTCTGCGAAATTAGCTTCTACGCTGAGCTTCAATTTCATTTTCGGCCATTTGTCTTGTTTAGCTTGCGGTGGTCGCAGATAAAGGTAGCACGGTCGTTCAAGTCGTGAAGGCCCCCGTATAGCCGTCAAATCAACAGGGAGCAGGAACACTATGCCCTCTCTCACTCGAAATCAGCGCCGCCGTTCGTTCTCAATAGGACGTAAGTTTGTTGCTCGTTTGATGCCAGGCACAGTGTTTCCATGTCTTGTATGCTTCCATCAGTGTAAACCACTCAAAGCCTACGGCGCTACTGCTTTGCTGGCCTTTTCCCTTCACAACGTGTATTTTCTTGCAGGCGCTGTGCAGCGAAAGGCAGCCAGTGCACATACGTCAAACGGCGGTGGCATCTCTCAAAACCACACCAAGAACAACGTCAGCCTCAGCCGTCTGATCGTTGCCACACGCACCGTAGAGAGGTCCTGCTCCAATCCTCACAACCCAGCGGACTGGCGTCTTCTGCCAGGTTGCCGCTTAAGAGGTGAGGTGTAGTTCACACGTTTCCCTGTGCTTTTCGCTTTGACAAACCAAGTGAACGGATATATCAACCAACAACCAAGGCGTGCAGACGAGAAGTGTAGCTCTCAAATCATGTCTTTGTGAATATGTGTTTGGGTGCGTTGCTTTTGGCGTTGTGTTCGCCAGTGGAATCCGACTTTGGGGGGCCCAATACCGCTCGCCCGCTTTTCTTGAAATTTGCCATGTTGTACGGGCGGCGACGCGAACTGCGAATGTCCGGACACGCAAATTGGCACTTCCTATGACATGAGTAGGAAATCAAAAACGTGACTATTTGGGCAATCTAGACTATCACAGAAGCCCGTCAGCGTTGATGGGGAACGTCCGTCGCTTCTTGCGTACAGTTCATCATCACGCATGATCATCCAGCTTTGCTCTTTATTCTGCTGCTACATCCAGGCTCAGGTTGAGTGCATCTCCGGCGGCTGGTCTCGTGGGAATGCAGGAGAACGCCTTCCTTAGCGACTTCTTTGGCTGCGTCGGGTTTCTCCCGCTTACCAACCAAAGGTATTGCATACATGTTGCTTGGACTATGATACACTTTACGCTGGGAGAGCTACTTTTGTTCTACGCCCCAATAGAGCAATATGCCGAGTTCATTGAAACAGCATGAACAGGCTCCCGCTTGGATGGACGTATGGTGCTGGTGGTGCACCTGTACTCCATACCGTTGCCCGACACGTGGCGCGTTTGCGGTGTCTTCGTTGTTTTGACCAGTACCATTCGCGAGGTGATGGTACAAATCCTGACAACCCCGGCCACTCTACAGCGGCCACCCGTTGCGGGAGGCTGTGACGAAGAAGCGGTTTTCGACGCGATCGCGCGAGGGGCGGACTTGATCAAGGCCTCGGAAGGGCATCAGCTTCCCATGAACCCGCGATCTTGCATTTTCTGGTGTGCCATTGCTCTGGGGGCGCTTGCGAAGGGCAGTCCTTTCGAATCGGTATGAAGTGGCGTGGGTTCTCACTTTGTTGCTGCAAACGTCTTTTGCGGACCTAACTGTCAGAGGAACCCATTTTCCATATCGTATTGTGGATGAAGTTCTAATGCCAACTGGTGGGTTGTTTTTCTATTTTAGAGTGTTTGGCTTGTCATTCATGCGACGGGCCTCTATACCTCACTTGGGCTTGGTGACAGGTGACGAAGTACTCTCAACTAGCCCACGGAGCGCTGGACAAGAGCAACTCGGGTTCCGCAGACGCCGAGGTCGCGAAGTGAGTCGAGCAGGGATACCGTCCACGAAGATGACTGCTGGCCTTGCGTTTTGTGATGTCCCCTTTCCAGGCACGCCTGCCTGATGGCTTTAGACCTCGGGTCACTGCTGTAGATTCCAACACATCACTTCATGCTCACTTTCCGGTGAAGCTCGTAGTGCTCTATTCAATGATGAATATTTTGCCCGATGTTCCGTGCTTTCGGTATATTTTTCCCTTCCCAGGGCATGGGCAATGCTGGCCTACCTGTACGGCTTCATGGGGGACTTGGTGAGGTGTTTCCCCTGGTCCTGCCGTGGATATGAGTATGCATCGCTGTTGACGTGATCAACTCAGTTCTTGTTTCTCTGTAGTACAGCAGCCGACGTGGAACGATACTGCAAGCAAGTCGCTTCGGCAGCCTGCTCTGCATCATGTTGGAACCGTTGTGCACCAGAAAGTATCCCTTTCTTTTGATTTTTCCGACGTGCTTCCGTTCGATAACTACGTCAACCTGACAGACACGATATCAAGATTACAAGGCGGTGTCAGCATCATTCTTGAGATGTTCAATCGAGGACGGATCTACCGCTTCTCTTCCAGTGGTGAGAACGACGTTTGCACCCCGACTGGGGTGCCCATAATGACCGCAGTATGAACAGCGTGCCTCGTTTCTACATGTTTCGGCTGCGATGTGCTGGAAGCTCAATCTTGATGACTCCAAGCGCTTGCTGCGGTCCAAGGCGAAGAGTCCTCCCTTTGGGCTATTGGCGGTTCTGGAATGCACGATAGAGTATGATGCCAAAGTCCCCCTCTTGTCCCCTGATGCCATGGCTTGGTTGTCTGTCCACATCGCTGATCTACGGGTCCTATGCGGCCGAACGCTGACCAGGGGTTCGCCGAGGTTGTTAGCTTTACCGAGATCGCCGACTCGTGCTGCGGACAGCGGCACGTGAAGTCGCTTGCTGGTGAAGTGCCAGCAATGCCGCAGGTGTGTGAGTCGATTCCATCGCGGAATCGTTGGGCAATGAATCCTTTGAACCTGACCTCGCTGCACGGAATCGATACGTTGCTGATGTGCTGGTGTGTTGTGTTCGGACCAGTGTGTCCACCAGGGAGCATTTGTTCGCCACGGGTATTGTGAAAGCTGATTCTGTCTGGTCTCGCTACCACCACGTATTTTGCTGATTGGCCCACATCCGCCCACCACCTTTGCTCACACCTCGATCCCAGTTGAAAGAAGCCGCCACTGAGGGTGAGATATATCGATATGTCTCTCAATCTCTGAAAGCGTTTGAGCAAGGTTCCCACGCAATAGCGAGCAAGCAGAGCACGACGACAGGCGAAACCCCATGGAAGGGCGAGCGTGATGGCGGATCAAACGGAGTCCGGCCATCCCACGACGCTTACCAGGCGAAGGATATTTCGAACGCTATGGTTACTATGTGGGGACAAGGGGGCTGCCCCGATTTCGAGCCGCTTGAAGGAGTGGTAGATCGGTGAGTCAAATTACATGATGCAACACCAGTGAACATGGCGAAGATCGCAACACAGCACGGTGGTGCCTTTACTGCCCAACGATATCAAGGTATGCCGTGAAGGTTGGTACCAGGAGCCATCGAGTCCTCAACCCTGCTGTAGGTTAGCACATTTGGGAAGACTTCGCTCCTTTTACTGGCTCACATGTTCCTATTCGCCCGTCGCTGCGCATCTCACTCGCAATCGGCCGCATGTCAACATGGGATGCGAAATTTTCCGGCGACCAGACCTGGTATTCGTGGCGGTGTCGGCAGCCTTCTCGTCAACATGTACGCTAAGGATGTTTCGTACACGTCAAAAAAACGCGCTGTCCCACCACCATCATTCTGAATCAACACCAACTGCTGTTGTTGTCTACCGCAGGTGCTGTGTTTCTTGTTTTCAGCTCAACAGCGATTCAATTGGTTGACATTGCGGTGACCATGTGATTAATGCGAGCCGAAGATGTGAGTTGTTCTTGCGGTACCTTCCGTCAGCTATATTTGAACTTTGTTTGGCGACTGCTGATGGAATTGTCTCTGGCGCTTGCAAGGTTCCGTTGACCGGCGACACATGCCTGTTCGCCCCCGGTGAGACTTTTTTCACAGTCCGGTTTCGTCCTCGGTCGTTATACCGGAACCTCCCAAATCCGATAGGAGCATTGCCTTCGCAAAGGCAGAAAAGGGCGATTTACATGCCACGGTGGAGAGACTTGGCCGCTGCGTTGAGGTGTATGAGCGATATCCTGGGGTGTGCCGAGGCACGCTGGGGTGAGTCCTCGGCACTGAAGAGATTGTGTGACTACAACTAACTTTCGTGCGGTCTTTGAAGTTCACATGTTATATAGCTACTTCCGCCGCCATGCACTTGGTTCGGGCTGTAACGAGAGAACAGTACTCTAAAAGTGTCAATTCTTTCATGCATCATGTTCGTTGTGAAAGGGGTCCTGCCACTTTCACGAAGGTATTGCGAACTGTGAATTTTCCGCGAGTATGTGCCTACGTTTTCTGTCGTCGGATGATGCCGTTCGGGGGACGTATACGTCGCTCTTGAAGCGGATAGTGATGCTACTGGCTTGATGTTCGATGTGAACCCTTTCTCTAATATCTGTGTACGGGGTCTCAATGCTTCTGAACAGTGAGTGGTAATCGCCGGAATAGCCGGTCTCGAAATTGACAGTTGTTGCGGTTCGGCCTCCTCTCAGTACCAGCCTCATAGCAGCAGCAGCATCACTATCTCCCTTCGTGCTGGATGACGGCCCCTCCACCTACAGTCTTCGTTTTTCGGGAATGGTCCCTCCGTTGGTGATAAACTCGCCGGAGACCTTCCCCGGCAGAAGGGGTGTATGCAAATACTGTTGATGACAGGCACTACCTCTGGAGATGTTACTCTACACTTTCCATTTCATTCGACGTTTTTAACCTACTCCCATCGTATGGAATGGGACAAGATTGTTCGGCGGCAGCACGTCCCCCAACCATGAACGATTTCCTGTCTTCGAGGCCGTTCGACCACGGCTTTGCGTGTTGCCCCTTGGAAAGGTGGGCACAGCAACTAGCTATGTCCAATTGAGCCCAAGGGTTTAATGACTGGTACTTGTCTAGAGAATAGGCTGTAATGTGCGTAGACTCTTACTCTCAAGCACCATTAGCATCACCGCGAGTGATGCAGTGCCTCTGGGTCGATTCGAATCTGTTTTCAGCTCTGCCGCGTTTTGGACGTTCTGGACAGTTAGAAGAGAAGCGAAGAGGATATGTTGGACAGAAATCAGTGCGGGGTCTCACGTGAAGACAAAACTACCGGCACCATGTGCTAACGGGAAGGTTTGTGGTAGAAAAATTATGTCATGGTGTACCGAGTGGTATTCGCTACAAAGCGCCATTTGTGAAACTCGTATATCCCGTGCTCCCCTTGCCCGCGCCCATCAAAGGTACCACAAGGCACATATGGTGCTGGTTGTCCTCGAAGCGATTGGTGACCCCAGATCTCGAGCGATGTACGACACTTTGCGGGAGTCCTACAATTTGTTTCGGCCTGCTGGTTCTCTGCCCGTACCCCCGTTGGAGGAGTGGCACGGGGTGGATGCCTTCTGCGACCATCTCTATTGCAGGTAGGTGTGCAATATGGCAGAAAATAGGGCCTGCCTAGTATTCTTCGGCGTCAAATATTCCGATTCAACATTGGCATACGCAAATTCGGAATGTTCGCAACAGAGGATTTGCAATTGTACCTTGGAGCACCCGCGGTTTCCCCTTACGACGCGGCAGATCCCAGTACAGTACGGGGACCTATATTGTGCCGGGTGTGTCCTGACGTTTTACCGGCACTATGTAACGCGCACCGGCACTATTCAGAGTAGTGCCTCAATAGTGCCGGACCAGCACTATTGAGTTCCAATATTCCTCAGCAGTGCCGGTCCGGCACTATTGAGGAGGTGTAGATTTCATGGTGTAGCGCTCTCAAGCTTAGCGGGGCCAACAAAGTACGATGTGGATCGAAATTACGTGTGTTATTAGTGGACGAAGCTAAATCTCAGTCCTCGTTGCCCTCCTTCGATTTTGCCAACGAGCCACGACAGGAAGCGCACCGCAAGAAAACAACCATTACTACCACGGCCGTACCGCCCGCCCTCACTACATCGTGACAAACTATTTCATGTCTGCCTGGCGTACCCCCTTGGATGTTGGAAGAAAGGATAAAGGCCAATATCACGAACCAAAAAACGACAGGAAGGAAGAAAGATAAACAACCGTTACTACATACCACAGCTGTACCCCCCACCCTAACTACGCAGCAACTCTTCCTCATGTCTGCCTGGCGACCCCCCTTGGGTGTTGCAAGAAAGAAACAAAAAAGCTGCAGCAGCAGGTGTCCCTATTATTCTGTGTGGCGTCTGTCCTCTGGCGTGTGTGTGTGTGATGTGTGTGTCTTTATCATTAGCATCGACAGCGCTAGCCGGTCGACCAATGAAATGACGTCGGTCTCAGTGCGGTTGAAAACACAACACACTTCTACGTGCCATTACCTGGAACCCGTTGAGGAGGTTGCGGGGGGGGGGGGGGGGGGGGGGGGGGGGGGGACCCCTAACCGGGGGCGCGCAAAACCCCAAAAATTTTTCCCCCCCCCCCCTAAAAACGGGGGGGGGGATTGGGGGGTTTTTTCCGGAACAGGGGTTTTTCTCCCCAAACC